AAGGTAGAATTGGGATCATGATAGTGGGGGGAAGGGGGGAGGAAGTATTTAAGAACTAGAGGAAAGTTATATGTTTCATCATTGCTACACTGAACCCTGACTGGCTCGTCTCCTCCCTGAGACCCTTCTGTAAGGGGATGTCCGGTTGCCTACAGATGGGCTTTGGGTCTCTACTCCACACTCCCCCTCATTCACAATGATATGATTTTTTGTTCTGTGATGCTTGATACCTGATCCTATCAATACCTCGTGATGACACAGGCTGGTGTACTTCTTCCATATAGGCTTTGTTGCAGTCGCTTGTTTATCTTCAAGCCTTTAAGACCCCAAACACTATATCTTTTGATAGCCAGACACCATCAGCTTTCATCACCACATTTGCTTATGCACCCGCTTTGTCTTCAGTGATCCTGTTGGGAAGGTGAGCATCATGGAATGTCAGTTTAATAGAACAAAGTATTCTTGCATTGAGGGAGTAGTTGAGTAGAGGCTTAAATGTCCATCTGCTACCTTAATACTAAACCTATAAAAATATGCACCTAGATCTATTTTCCCATCATCATATATTTACATAAGTACACACCTGTATTTGGACATCTATAAATGCCCTTTGCCTCCTAGTTCTTTCCTCTATTTCCTTTTTCCTTTTGTCCCACTATCATGCTCATCCTTCATTTGAATTTCAGTAATTCCTCTCATTTACATTGCCCTTGATCAAGTCCTACCAGGTCTGCTACACCCTCCTCACCATTGATTTTGGATCACTTGTTGTTCCTTTGTCCCTAGGTTTGTTAATACCCACTTTCTCCCCCCCCCTCCCAGTTCCCATGCCCCACCCCATCCATTGTTTTCTCCTTGATTGTTTATCCTGCCTATCTTATCTAGATAGACCTGCAGAGATAATAATATGCACAAAAAACAAGGCAGAGCAAGACAAAGCAACAAAAGAAAACAAAAGAACAATAACAACAACAAACCAATGAGAAAAAGAAAAGCCTATAAATAGTTCAAGGTCTGTTTGTTGACCTTTAGGAGTGTTTTCCTGTGGATTCTGATGGGGTGTGATGCCCTGACCCCACAGTCTATTTTAAGTGTTCCCCTGGGACTTCATTGCTCAGTTTCCCTTGCTGTTCTGTTGCACATGCTTAGTGTTTCACCTTGGTGTGGTGGGGCCAGATCAGGCACAATTCCTGCACTGTGTCTCCAGTGTTGTCCCCCATACTGCTATGGGTCAGTGAGGGACGTTGGGTCTCATAGTGGGGCCGACCCTATGGTCACTCTGTGCTTTGGCTGCTCTGAGCAGGAAGATCATCCTCAGGGCTTGGTGGGTCCAATTATGTTCCACTCTTTCTTCCTCTCCCTTCATTTGCTCCTGTGTGCTCTGATCAGACATGTCCCTCTCCCTGAGCTGGAGCTTCACTGCTGTACTCTGAAGTGAATTCTTCTGCAGGGCGTGGGGACTGACCACATAGTTGGGATTGGGGCCGGCTCCTCATCATAGGATAGTTTTGCTCAAGGTTTAAAAGTTGTTTTCATGCAGTAGATTTGGGGCTATCTCCAGTTTCGATGTGTAAGTGTAGTTTCCAATGAGAATTCAGAGTTCCATTTGGGTACTGGCTGACCTTATTGGCTGAGTTTAGGTGCACTCGTGTGATGTCATGCCACTAGTGCCTAGTTTGTGTGCCCAGTTGGACCTCCCACCTGGGCCTAGGTCTGAGCAAGCTGAGTTCTGGATTTTTCACATAGGTGCCCAATTACTGTGCCTGATTTCCCCCCAACCTTTTTATTGTGGCATGGACAGCTAATTTTCACTTAGTGCAAGCATTAGGGACAACAACCCCCATCTTTTTAAAAAAATCATTTTATTGGGGGCTCGTACAATTCTTATCACAATCCATACATACATCCATTGTGTCAAGCACATTTGTACATTTGTTGGCATCATCATTCTCAAGACATTTGCTTTCTACTTGAGCCTTTACTATCAGCTCTTCATATTCCCCCTCCCTCCTTGCTTCCCCTCCCTTATTTACCCTTGATAATTTATAAATTATTATTATTTTGTCCTATCTTACACTGTCCGACGTCTCCCTTCACCCACTTTTTTGTTGTCCATCTCCCAGGGAGGAGGTTATATGTAGATCCTTGTAATCGATTCCCCCTTTCTACCCTACCTCTACCCTCCAGGTATTGCCACTCTCACCACTGGTCCTGAAGGGATCATCTGTACTGGATTCCCTGTGTTTCCAGTTCCTATCTGTACCAGTGTACATCCTCTGGTCTAGCCAGATTTGTAAGGCAGAATTGGGATCATGATAGTGGGGGTGTTGGAAGCATTTAGGAACTGGTGTTTCATCGTTGCTACATCACACTCTGACTGGCTGGTCTCCTCCCAGAGACCCCTCTGCAAGGGGATCTCCAGCAGCCTACAAATGGGCTTTCATTCAGCACTCCCGCTCTCATTCACTATGGTAAGATGTTTTGTTCTGATGATGCCTGATACCTGATCCCTTCGAGAAACAGTGTGATCTTAATGATTCTTGATAAGTTTGAGTTCCTCTCCCTGATAAAGCGGTTGCTAACAATGGGTCCCAACATAGCAACGATTGTGAGTGTGGCCCTGCGCTGGGGGCGCTCCTTCACAACGGAGTCCGGGTTAACCACAGTTCTAGGGCTATCACATAGGCATGGAAACCAGTTCTCTACATCCAGCCGTAAAGCGACGCACTTACAACGCGACATCCTGACGTCACATCCGGCCACCGGCAGAAGTCGCCGGCGTGACGGGGCAGAAGTTGGTGCGGGGCACGCCCCTGCCGGCAGCCAATGGGCTGTGGCCACCTCCGCCCCGCCCACGCCTCGCCGGCCGGGGCCTGTGACGTCAGGGGGCGGGGCGCCGAGCGGGGAGACGGAGGCCAAGATGGTTTACATCTCGAACGGTGAGTTCCGCGCTCCGCGGGGGCGATCGCTGGCTGGGGCCGCTGGAGCCCAGACTCCGGCCCCGATCGCCGGGCGGAGCCGCCGGGCCTGCGGCCTGTCAGCTGGCTGCCCTTAAATCTCGGGGCGATGGGGGCCGGCCTCGAGCTGAGCCTGGCGACCAGGGCGAGGGTGTGAGGAAAATGGATGTGGCTCGCGGACGCCTGCGTGCTGAACTGGCCGTGACAACCGTTAGCGTCACTGGCTGCCTAACCCGGTCGCCTTCTCCGATTTTAATCGCACTCGCGTTACGGTGCCCAGGTCACAAACGTAGCGAGTGACGGCCGAGATTCGAACGCAGGCACACCGGTTTGGGAGCCCTTGCTGTGAACCTCACTCACTGCTGTAGAATCGATGGCCACTCGTCGGGACCCTCTAGGACAGGGTGGAACTGCCCCTGTGGGTTTCCGGGGCTGTTAACCCGAACCCCGTTCTCCCTTGTGGCTCCCTCCGGAAGCCGACTGCCACATCATTCTCCGGAGGCTGGCGGGGGGGCAAAATGACCCACCTTATGCTTGGCCCCCCACTGTGGCACACGGCTCTCTGTTGACTGCTCTAAAATGTATTTTTTTTAAAGGCCGAATTAGGATGAGAATTAAGGGAGGATATTTGAATGGGCCTTCACGCAGGTCGTAGACAATCATAACAGGGTTCTTCAACACTGGAGTTCCGCCCCCATGCCTGCATTTTTGCCCTAATTTTAAAGGGCACAGGAAGCAGGAACACGCTTGGGTTGTGCAAGTTCATTATTTCCAGAGTATCGAATTGGTAGACTTAATTCGGTGAGCCCCCAAGGAAAATACTGGATAGGAACCGCACAGTACCGCAGGGTCAGAACAGCGCCCACTTGCTTACTCAGGTGAAATTCCTTGGGTTAGTCCTAACACCTAGTTCTTGGATCACTGGAACTACGTGCTGGTTCCATTTGCGTCATCCGTTTGTCTCGAGGTGCCCGACTAGTCAGGGCACACCTGGCTGAGTGCTTGGTTTTCTTTGCGCCGCATCCACTCCCTGCTCTCTCCCTTCCTTCCACTTAAAAAGAAGGCATTTAGACTAGGTCAAGGGGCACCAAAGAAGAGCATCAGCGTTTTAATATGGTACTTGCAGACATGAATTTGAGTTAACTGTTCTGTGGTTGGGGCTGGTTGTGAGCTTCTATGTGTCCATTATTAAATTGTTTTCATATGCCGGGTCGTATGCATAGGTATGCACCTATGGGTTTGTTTGACTGAATGTCGCGTCTCATCTTTCCTGTGGAGACATACTGTATTCGAGTACTAGATCTCAAGTACGAGGGGTCGTATAGTTCTGCCTTCACAATGCAAGTGCATATAATCGGTTCCTTGAGGTTAGCAGTTTGAATTCCCCCCCCCCC